GCTCTGGGTCTTCTGGTCTTGAGTTAGTGGCACACACAAGGTGAAAGTTTCAAACCAGAACTTTTATCTGTTTTTACAGGTCTCGGTTTCATTTACATAGCATGGACACTAACACTGCCCAGGGAAAGTATTTAAGCCTGAGTGAATGCCTTTTACTTTACTTTCCAGTATCAATAAACATTGTTTTAATATTTTCAAGGAAAGCATGATTATTTCTAGTTGACTCAGATTTGTTTAACATCTTAAAGTTATGCATATTTTTTATGCTTTTAACTTGACTTGGATTTATTTACTTAGCTATTTTCAGTATGTCCCATTTTGGCATGTTTACTAGCTTGAGTTGTTAGGGTGTAATACATGTACTCCAAGAGTAGTATTAATTTTCTTTTTATTTGATTTCATATTCAATAAACATCTTAAGCATTGATCCTTGTTAATTATTCCTTGTTTTAATATTTTGTCCTACGTATGGACTGGTTAAAATATATATACCTACATTTTTTTTTTGTACTGGGACACACATCACGGCCACATACAACTTCAATATTGGTGGTGCAAATAAGAAAATTCAACATACCCAAAAGAAAATTCAACCTGCCCAAGAATGGAAAATATTGAAGGAAACATTGTCTGAGGGCAAAGTTAACATGCTTCAGGGGGTAGCTGAGTTAGTCTGTACAGGACAAACTTAAAAAGCAAAAAACTGGTCTGGTGGCACTTTATAGACTAACAAAACATGTAGATGGTATCATGAGCTTTTGTGGGCACAGCCCATTTCTCCAGTCATCTGAAGAAGTGGTCTGTGCCTATGAAAGCTCACGATACCATCTATATAGGCTACGTCTACACTGGCTTGATTTTGCACAAGAACTCTTTTGCGGAAGAGTTCTTGTGTAAAAACTCTTCCAGAAGAGAGCGTCTGCACTGGCATGTGCATTTGCTCAAGAGATGTGCTTTTGCACAAGAGCATCCTTGCCAGTGTAGATGCTCTCTTGTGGAAGAAAGCTCTGATGGCCATTGTAGCCATCGGGCTTTCTTGCGCAAGAAATTCATGTTGCCTGTCTACACTGGCCTCTTGTGCAAGAACAATTGCGCAAGAAGGCTTATTCCTGAGAGGGAGCATCATAGTTCTTGCGCAAGAAGCTGTGATTTCATACATTAGAATGTCAGTGTTCTTGCGCAAGAACTCGTCGCCAGTGTAGACAGGCAGCAAGTTTTGGCGTAAAAATGGCTGCTTTTGCACAAGATCGCGCCAGTGTAGATACAGCCACAGATGTTTTGTTAGTCTATAAAGTGCTAGCAAAGTTAACATGATAACTGTAAAACCACTGTATATTCTTTAGATCCCCATGAGACACCCAGATCATGCTAAGGCACAGGGTTATTCTTATTTAACTTTCTAGTCACTGTGTAAGCAACTCCAGATTGTGATTCAACTTAAATGTATACCATAATATTTAAGTTGAGCTATTCGTGGCTCAACTTAAATATATATCTCAAATTTAAAAAAAACACACCATGTCTTAACAAACAAGTAAAAAGCAGTGTGAGATAAAAAGGCCTTGTTTAAAAGTGGAAGTTAAATCCTAGAGTAGGGATGTAATGGTGTAGCTGGATTGACTGATAAGCAAAAGCTTATCGGTTAATGCTATAGATTACACACATTTTCCACACACACACCTGCCACTAAATATTTTAGCAGGCTGGCCAGCAGCTCAGCTCAGTCTTGGCTTGTGCCGAGTTCTTGTCATTTAAAGTGTATTAGGACCCAGGTGGGTAGGCTGCCCAGTTCAGTTCTGGCTTGGTCCGGGAGCTCAGCCCCTCCTCTGGACAGGGGTTGCTGCTACTCTGTATTGCTGCAGTGCGGGGCGACAGGCAGCTGGTCCATGAGAGGAGCTGGTTTTTAACTTAGCTCCCCTTGCGGTCCAGCTCCCACCTAGCACCCCATACAGCTGCCTCTGATACAGAAGCAGCAACACGAAGTGACAGGGGGCTCCACGGGAGTGGGGCCAGAGCATACTGGCTTCCAATCCCACCCATGGGGACTATAGAGTAGTTGACTAACAAGTAAGAATTCATGAGGTTAATTGACTGCTCAATTAACCGATATTTAGCATCCCTATCCTACAGAGGAGAATAGAAAGGAGCATAAACTCTGTCAAATGAAGTGCAAAAATATGATTAGGCAAGCTAATTAGGAATTTGTAGAACAGCTACCCCAAAATTTTTAGAAATAGCAATTTTTAAAGAACATCAGAAACAGGAAGTCTGCTAAATAACCAGTGGGGCCACTGGACAACCAAGATGCTTAAGGACAAGTACTCAAGGATGATAAGGTTATTTTGGAGAAACTAAAAGAATTTTTGCATTGGTCTTCATGACTGAAGATGTTAGGGAGATTCCCAAACCTGAGCCATTCTTGATGGGGACTCAATTAGCTATTACCTCTCAAAAGAGAGATCTTAGAGTCATTGTAGGTAGTTCTCTGAACACATCCACTCAATATGCAGCGGAAGTAAAAAAAGCAAACAATGTTAAGAATAATTTAAATAGGAGTAGAAAAATAAGATTGTGGATGGTGCCCAGAATGAGTCCAGGCAGAGCCCCCCCTGTCCATAAGAGGGACTGGGGATTTGGGGAGTTAGTGGACAGTCTGGTGCATTCCACACCTTCCCCCAAGCCCCTGCCCTGCCTCTTCCTGCCCCTGCTCCATCCTTGCCCCCATTCCACCTCTTCCCACAAATCCCCTTCACCACCCTACTTCCTTCTGGCTTCTACCCCCTCTCCCCAAATGATTCTAGGAGCAGACGGGGTGGAACATGTTGGGTTTATGTCATTTGCTGCTGCCGGTGCCTGCTCCTCCCCCCAAATCTGCATTCTCCTCAAGTATTTGGCCTCCCCAAAGTGCAGGGACCTAGACCCTGGTCTAGCCTATGGATGGGAGCAGGGGCGGATATAGGGCAGGGCGAAGGGGGCGGCCGCCCCGGGCCCCGCGCTTAAAAAAGCCCCGCACATGCGCCATGGCGCCACCGCACATGCGCATGGCGTCATGGCGCATGCGCCGTGGCAAAGGGGGGGCTCCGTGGTGTTACGCTGCCCGGGGCCCCGCAAAACAGTCATCTGCCCCTGAATGGGGGAGTTCTGAAAATATAATCTCAAACATTGATGGAGCTGGGCCCACATTCCTGAGTTTTGGTGGAGCACAAGCACCCTTGGTCCATATAACTTATTGTCTATGATTGTGGAAGGTAGCTGGTGGAAGGCTCCTGGAAGGTGTGTGGGTATTATGCTATTTGCATTGCATTGAATGAGCCAAATAGATCTACATTCACTAGTCTAGTATCCCTGACTTGTGTCAGGGGAAGTAAAGCACCAGGGTGTCTTCGCTCTTCAGTGCTTATCAGAGCTCTTTC